CCCTCCCCCCCCCCGCTTTTCTTTCTCCAACGCCCTTTGAGGGGAGACCCCTGCTTGCAGGCGGGAGCCTGTCTGCGGACGGGACGGAGAGCTGGAGCGGAGGAATGTGGTTTGAGGTCTGGGTCGGTAAACTCAGCTACAAAACCTCATTCCCTTTGCCCGACTAATGAATAACCAAAAAGGGGCCGACGCCAACGATTTTTCTGCGGACTAGAGCGCAGCGCTTTGACTGGGGAGGGAGAGTTTGGAACCCGATTCCTGCCACCTTGAGTTGAGCGTGAACGCGTGCGACTTCTTCCCGTTCTGTGTATTTCTTTCTAACGCTTTCGTGGGTGTGCTCTTTGGCCGGCTGCAACGTCGGGCTGAGTTTTATAATCGCGGCCTGTGCGTGCCCCCTGCGCTCGCCCGAGGGCGGAGGAGCACTGGTGACCTCGGAATGTGCCTGCGAGCCCGAGCAGATGCGCTATGATCTCTCGTCTGCCAGCTTCTGTCCCCTTCCCCTCACTCCCCCACACTCCCTTAAAAGGCCGACTCCGACTTTCTGGCGGAGGCGGCGGGAGGGCCCCTTAGTAGAACCTGCTTGGGAGGTCTTCGCCTAGCGTGCCCCGCCTTCCCGTGCCTCCCACCCCGCCTTCCAGTTGGCACTCCCTCTCGCGGCCATCATTCTGCGCTCTAGCCCCGGAGAGAGTTGGTCGTCCCCGTTCTTCCTGCTACGACTTTTCCTGACTCTGTCTGCTGTGTGCAGTGCTTACTCTCCGGCCCTTTTCATTTTATCACTTCGATGCTTTTTTTCTCTTTGACTTCCTCACTTGTCTTGTTTCAGAATTCTCCGCTTTTCCCCTGCTCCTCTGCTCCTGGAAGCAGTCACATGGTCACAGCCCAGTCTGGGACTTCCCTGGGGGGGTTGGGTCTCAGTCGACAGTAGGAGGACTCTTTTTCAGATAATCAACACTGGCAAGAAGCAGGAGCTTATTTCCCTGGGGGCAGTAAGAGTGGGGGTAATAGACTTCTGGGCAGAGTGGGTGGTCCCTGTGCCCGGAATTGGCAAGAGCAGAGCACCCCAGGGACCCTTGGAATGAGCGAGCACAGCAATGCAGGCTGAGATTCCTTCAGGCCCGGCCCCTTGGCCGCAGCCCAGGCCCTACCCGAGGCCTTCCACGTGGAGCCTGATGATCTCATTCAGGATTTGAGTCCTGGCCTGTGAAAGAGTGACTCAGGGCCTCTGCCTGCTGCCCTTGCTCCAAGATTTTACTACAGCTGGGCAGGATGATGTGCACATTGCCTTGTTCAGGTTGTAGGATTTCCAAGAGGATACAAGAAAATCCTGGTGTTGTCTCTCTCCTCTCTCTCTCTCTCTCTCTCTCTCTCTCTCTCTCTCTCTATCTCTCTCTCTCTCTCTCTCACACACTCTCATACACACACACACACACACACACACACAGAGCCTGATCACTCATGATCTTTTTATTTAAAGCAAAGGAGAGAACTTTAAAAATAGCACTTCCAATGAAAAGAGAGGCAAATATTTTTATTATTGTTTTTCCAGGCATATTTTTGCTTTATTTGCTTTGACTGGTTAGGCTTTCCTTATATACTCTCAGAAGGCAACTATTCTTGAATAGCCTGCCCATGAGCAAACTCTTCCTTGTTTCCTTACAGGAACTGGAAGCACAAGAAAGAAACGATTTGTATCCAGCCCCCGCTATGTGGAAACCATGCTGGTGGCGGACCAGTCGATGGCAGAATTCCATGGCAGCGGTCTAAAGCATTACCTTCTCACCTTGTTCTCGGTGGCAGCCAGGTTGTACAAACACCCTAGCATTCGGAATTCCATTAGCCTGGTGGTGGTGAAGATTTTGGTCATCTATGAGGAACAGAAAGGACCAGAAGTGACCTCCAACGCTGCCCTCACTCTGAGGAACTTCTGCAACTGGCAAAAGCAGCACAACCCACCCAGTGACCGGGATGCAGAACACTATGACACGGCGATTCTTTTTACCAGACAGGTGAGAGAAACATGGTCCCAGTTACGATATTGTCCTCACAGGAGCCCACATTGTACCAAACAAGTTCATACTAAGGCATTTCAACAGTGGTTTTTGCACTTAATTTTTTTAATTGACTAGCATCATTTATCTAACTTATTATCACTATAATCTTAATACGTTGAGTTTCTTGATTTTGTTTTTAAAGCATTAGAACAAAAGCTGGATTAAAGTCACATGAAGTCCTCTTAGCTCAAACAACAATGACTATAGATGCTCCAAAACATATGTGAAGACACACGCTGCCAAAAAGCTAGACCCTAAGGTTCATACTCTCCTTTTTAATGAGGACTTACCTTTGCTTTTTGTAGGACTTGTGTGGGGCCCAGACATGTGATACTCTTGGAATGGCTGACGTTGGAACTGTGTGTGATCCGAGCAGAAGCTGCTCAGTCATAGAAGACGATGGTTTACAAGCCGCCTTCACCACAGCTCATGAGTTAGGTAAGTCTGTTTCAGAGTAGGAGTTAAGTCCAGTTCATGAATTCAAAATAGTAAAAACAACAGAAATTTAAAAGGGAAGTGGGTAGGTTATATTTCTATTTTAGGTACCAACACATCTTAAAAACTGTAGAAAATATTTTCCACTATTTCAGACACAGTCATTTCTATTAGAATAAAAAATAAGATAATAGGAGCTATGAACATTTAAAAATTTATATGTTTATTTAACATCTTGTAAAAACTAGGCATTGTCTCCAAAATCAAATTTTCTTCTAAATATATTTCTTCCTCTAGAAATATCACCTTGAGACCAATGAATCCCTACTGGGAAAGAAAAGAATGCTACAAGTGATTTATATTTTAATGTGGGTTTTGGATTGCCTTGCAGGCCATGTGTTCAACATGCCGCATGATGATGCAAAGCAGTGTGCCAACCTTAATGGTGTGAACCGGGATTCCCACATGATGGCATCCATGCTTTCCAATTTGGACCGTAGCCAGCCTTGGTCTCCCTGCAGTGCCTACATGATTACCTCATTTCTGGACAACGGTCATGGTAAGACACTCCAGCTACTCTCTAGATGGCGTCAAACCTTTCATATGTAGAGTCTAGTTAAATAGCTCTTTCTTTTTTGTTCTTTTTATTTTCCTTCCTTACAAATTACTTTTCACTGTCAAGGTCCTAACTGTTCCGATCTTAATTCCTAATAAAAGATAGTGCTGGGCAACCCTTTCAGGTCCCTTCCCACACTGGGAGCTTTTCTATCCTCTCAACAAATCCTGCTTTCTAAAAAAAAAAAAGATAGTACTTCTGGTTGAGTAGTTCCCAAAGTCCATTTATTCACATGTTTAGCAGAACAATAATTTCCTGTCATTGTTAATATAGACATACCCCTCTGAGGATCATATCTTAATAATAATCTAAATCTCTTAGCCCTCCCCCTCTACCACTACAGTTTTCAAATCTCTTTGCTATATTAGCTCATATAAAAATATTTTCCGAAAGTGATCTACCCCTGCATGCTTTCACTAACTGTATATTAATATTGGCTGGCATTTTCTTTGTAGGAGAATGTCTGATGGACAAGCCCCAGAATCCCATACCGCTCCCTGCTGATCTCCCCGGCACATTGTATGATGCCAACCGACAGTGCCAGTTTACTTTTGGGGAGGAGTCCGTACACTGCCCTGATGCAGCCAGCACGTGCACCACCTTGTGGTGTACGGGTACCTCCGGCGGGCTGCTAGTGTGCCAAACCAAACACTTCCCCTGGGCAGACGGCACCAGCTGTGAAGAAGGGAAATGGTGTGTCAACGGCAAGTGTGTGAACAAGACCGACAAGAAGCATTTTGATGTGAGTTTTTCTACTGAAACACATTCAGAATTGAAAGCAATAACGTGATGCTAAAAGATTTACTACCAAGTTAAATATCCCCATCTGTGTCCTCTAGCGGGAATGCAAGATCACTTATTTTAAGAATTGATTATCTGTCCCATGTTTTTTCCTTTTACTTCCTAAAAGATCTCTTTAACCCTTTGCCTATTTAGAAAAAAAAGTGCAGCTTGCTGCTACATTTAATTTTATATAAACATGCTCTTTGAGGCTAAAGCAAATCTGACTGGTTTTCAATGTGATGCTAAAACATAAAAACTGTTATTGGAGTTAATTCTAAACAGAACTTGTCTGTAGTTATAACAAGAATTACTAAAAAGAGAGGGAGAGAGAAAATTACTATTTGAGGGGGGACCCAAAAAACTGGAATTATTTTTGGGAGGGTAGGTACCTTGTAGTACAGGCTTCCCCCACTGGGTAAAATGTTCTGAGAACCCATTGGCATCGGTGTACCAGCTAGTGTTGTGAGAGGCTGCATTCAGCTTCAGTGAATTTTTTTTTTCTTTTTGAGATTCTTTTTAACACGTTTGCCTGTTTCACAATGGGTGATTTACAAACATGCTGAATGTTCAGCGGTTTTTGGCAAAAAACAGCATGACCCCCATTCCCTACCCTCCCTATTCACACACTCTCACCAGGAGTTACTTTTTTGTTTCCCTGGGTGGAAAAAGTCCTCGAAGGGAAACATTTTGCCATGTGGAAGAGGTGAAACAAAAAAACAGCAGAAATAATTAAGGGCATCAAAATTGACAACTTTAAAAGCTGTTTAGAGGAGTAGAAAAAGCATTTCAAAGGTGTATTGCATCAAACAGAGAGTACTTTGAAGGTGACTGGAGTTTAAACATGTAAGAATAAATATACAATTTTTTATAAACAAATTTTGGGGTTTTTTGAGTTCCCCCTCATATTTTTTAGTTCTCTCTTTTTTTAATCTCAGGGTAAACGCTGCAGCAGCAAGCAGCACACCAGCGAGTATCCTGAAGTTAAACAGGGAAAGGGTTAACGAATTCTAATGTTGATGATTTGTGTCTCCATTTAGACTCCTGTTCATGGGAGCTGGGGGCTTTGGGGGCCTTGGGGAGACTGTTCGAGAACCTGCGGTGGAGGAGTTCAGTATACGATGCGGGAGTGTGACAACCCAGTCCCAAAGAATGGAGGGAAGTATTGTGAAGGCAAACGCGTGCGCTATAGGTCGTGTAACATTGAGGACTGTCCAGATAATAATGGTGAGTAGTGGTGGCCTCCCACTTTGAGAAATGGGGTAAAAGCAATGTGCTCACAGGCAGTTAAAGATTGGAAACTAATAATGTCATTCTATCATTTTCTTTCCAGGAAAAACCTTTAGAGAGGAACAATGCGAGGCACACAATGAGTTTTCCAAAGCTTCCTTTGGGAGTGGGCCTGCCGTGGAGTGGACACCCAAGTATGCTGGCGTCTCACCAAAGGACAGGTGCAAGCTCATCTGCCAGGCCAAAGGCATTGGCTACTTCTTCGTTTTACAGCCTAAGGTAGTTACTTTCACATTACTTGTTGCCTAAGAACCAAGGCGTTGACTTGCTACCTTTTCATGAAACCTTTGATGTGCTTTTTTTTCATATTGATATATGTCCCATTCAAATTCAAACTCCTTTTTTGCATATACATCGGCAACTGACTGCTTTGAGTTTGTTGTTGCTTTCAGTCATGAATGAAGCTTAAATCCAGCCCTTCAAGTTCTTGCAGTTGTTTATTATTACTCTTTTATATACAAAGAAAAGCTCTTTGAAACATCAAGTACTTCACTGTATTAACTAAGGTTCACATACAGCTTGTAGTTAGATAAATTATATGGTCACAAGGTGACGGGTGGTGGTGGAAAATAGTTTAGGCATGGTCCAAAGGACTTGTTACTGGGTGTACGGCAGTAGTATGGGCAAATAGGCTTATTAAAATGGAAGTCTGAGCACTGATTATTCTTGTTTGAGGACATATATTGCTGAAGAAATAAATTTGGCTCTGAGATAGAAAATGGAATTGAATTGGATCGAGATCATCAAGTGTTATTAGCACTGAAGGCTATAAAAATATTCCCAAGTTGGAAATTCAGCAAGTGATTTATGAAACACGTACTATTGCCAGTACTATTCTGGCCATTGAAGATATGGCAGGAAACGAAGTGATACAGAGCTCTGCTTTCTTGACCTTAGTTAGAGGAGAGAAAGGTCGATACACAACAATCAAAGACTTCCTGTTTTTTTCAGATGTCTACATGTATTATTGAAAAAAACAAAGGCCGCAGTGAAGGGTAACATGTATAGAGGGCACTCTTTTTAATTATTGTGGTCAGGGAAGCAGAAATGCAGTCATACTTCCCATAGTATCCATCTCATGTCTAATGCTAGACACGTTCTCCTGTTTTCAGGTTGTAGATGGTACTCCATGCAGTCCAGATTCTACCTCTGTCTGTGTGCAAGGACAGTGTGTAAAAGCTGGTTGTGATCGCATTATAGACTCCAAGAAGAAGTTTGATAAATGTGGTATTTGTGGAGGAAATGGATCTACATGCAAGAAAATATCGGGATCAGTTACGAGTGCAAAGTAAGCTTTAAAATATATACTCTCAGAGACCTTGTAATTTAAGTGTACTTTTTACAGGTCTAGCGGGGGAAAAAGCCACATAGAGGATTAGCATGTTTTTAAGCTTAGCAGTCTAGCAACCTATTTGTCAATAAATGAGAGTTATGACTTTTTTTTTTTTTTTTTTGCCTACAGACCTGGATATCATGATATTGTCACCATTCCAACCGGAGCCACCAACATAGAAGTGAAACAACGGAATCAAAGGGGGTCTAGAAATAATGGCAGTTTTCTTGCCATCAAAGCTGCTGATGGTACATATATTCTTAATGGTGACTTCACTTTGTCCACCTTAGAGCAAGACATCACGTACAAAGGTATCGTCTTGAGGTACAGCGGTTCCTCTGCAGCACTGGAAAGAATTCGTAGCTTTAGCCCTCTCAAAGAGCCCTTGACCATCCAGGTCCTTACGGTGGGAAATGCTCTTCGACCAAAAATTAAATACACCTATTTTGTGAAGAAGAAGAAGGAATCTTTCAATGCTATCCCTACTTTTTCAGAATGGGTCATTGAAGAGTGGGGCGAGTGCTCCAAGTCTTGTGGATCGGGTTGGCAGAGAAGACTGGTAGAATGCCGAGATCTTAACGGGCAGCCCGCTTCAGAGTGTGCAAAGGAAGTGAAGCCAGCCAGCACCAGACCTTGTGCCGACCTGCCTTGTCCCCACTGGCAGCTGGGGGAGTGGTCGCCATGTTCCAAGACCTGTGGGAAGGGTTACAAAAAGAGAACCTTGAAGTGTCTATCCCACGATGGAGGGGTGTTATCTCATGAGAGCTGTGATACTTTAAAGAAACCTAAACATTACATAGATTTTTGCATGATGGCAGAATGCAGTTAAGTGGGGTCAGTTTTGAGGCAAGGCAACGTGACAAGGACTGACGCATTGAGGTCAAGAAGACTGGAATGATCCAGTTTATCTTGTCAGTAACCAGCGAGGTGTGTCAGTAGGTAGAAAAAGAGTTAAATCATCAGAGTAAACTGCCAGTTACAAATTTGATAGGGTAGTTAATGAGAATTATTAACCTCTAAACAGTGATATAGCATGATAAAGCCCCAGGGCATTATTACTATTATTTCTTTTGTTACATCTATTACAAGTTTAAAAGAATAAAAACAGGAACAATTGTCAAAAGAAGTAGGAACTATTACCACCCCTGTTTCCTGGTACTTCTTAAATACTTTGTACATGGGGGTTGGGAAATTAAAGGTAGGAAAACGATGAGATTTTGTTTGAGATCTGGCTTACTTTACCTCATTAATGATGGGGAGAGAAAGGAGTACAAATAGCATCTTTGACTAGCACCATTCATGGCTGCTGTGATTTCTGAGAATGTTTATATATCTTTTCTACCAAGATGTAAGAGTTCAGATTGTCTCAGGAGAGAAACGCTCAGCAACGTGAAGTGATTCAAATGACTCCTATCTTTATCTTCTTGTAACATCTCAGTCTATAAGTCTTTTTGAGGAAGAAACAATTCCATGTATTTATAAGAAGTGCCTTAAGTCTACAAAGGCAGAAACAGCAGCAAAATATTAGGTGCTGATAAAAACAAGAGGAGTCACAAGGAGCTTGGTGCCTCTGAACTTTATTTTCTACTCTGTCAGCCTACTTTGGGAATGTGGATCTGTTAAAACAGTCATTTGTGTCTCAAAAAAAGTCAGTAAGGTCACATAAAAAGGATGTAATGCCAGAACAAGAAGGGGGTATGTAGAACAGGGTCCCACAGGCTTGGGGACATTGAGATCACGTGTCTTGTGGTGGGAAAGCTGCTGAGGGGTAGCGGGTCCATCCGCAGCAGCAAGCCCAACAGTCGTATCCTGGTGAATGTCTGTTCAGCTCTTCTGTGGGAAAGAATACAACTTTTTCCATATGTATATAGTAAAATCCATTACTATAAATTATATGTACTTTATAAGTATTGGTGTGTGTATTCCTTCTAAGAAGGACTATAGTTTGTAATAAATGCCTATAATAACATATTTATTTTTATACATTTATTTCTAATGAGAAAACTTTTAAATTATATCGCTTTTGTAAAAGTACATATAAAAATAGAGTATTTATACAATATATGTTACTAGAAATAATAAAAGAACACTTTTTGAATGTGTTTGCCTGTTTTTTAAAGTGAGAAATTCTGGGGAGGAAATCAGAGACAAAAATATTGAATATAAAGATTAAACTTTTAAAAATTCTTCGGCAATGAGATTTTGTTCTAATGAAATGCATTTCTTGAATCCTTGGTTTGGGTGACAGAAAGGAATCTATATCTTTAGTGATAGATAAGTTTGTTATTAATGTATCTGATAATGTAGATCAGTTGTTAGCAAACTTGTTCTGTAAAGAGCCAGGTATTAATTGTACGTGGCTTTATAGGTCATACCATCTCTGTCACAACTACCCAACTGTGCTGTTGTAGCATAAAAGTAGCCATACATAATACATAAATGAATGGAACCCGGTCATGTTCTAATAAAGCTTGATTGACAGAAACAAATGATGGACCAGATTTGTTCTGTGAACTGTTTGCTGGTCCCTGATGTATATTCCATAGATTAACTAGATAAAGCCTGGAGTTCTGGATGGTTTTTGAATTTGTATATGTTCTTCAGTTATAAAACAAGCAAGATTATGTGAAAGTATTTAAGTTATTGACTAGAAAATGGTGACTCATAAATTACATTTGGGATAGACATAGTGAGCCAAACCCTACAAATGTTTCACTTGCTTATCAGGAATACCTGAGGTATTTTGGAGAAACCTTGAAAAACGCAGGCTTCTCTGGGCAGTGTTTTTGTAAATCACTATATTTTAAATACTAAATACTACATCAATGACCAAGTTAAGACTGTTTCTAAAGTAATTACATTTCTCCCAGGAAATCGTATTTACTAGAAGACTCAGACTATGTGGTTAACCACAGATATTTCTTTTTTTTTTTTTTTTGAGTGGAAGTCTCACTCTGTCGCCCAGACTGGAGTGCAGTGGCCGCTTCCGGCCACCGCAGCCTCGACCTGCCGGGCTCCGGCGATCCTTCCACCTCAGCCTTCCAAGTAGCCGGAATTACAGGCATGCGCTACCACGCCCGGCTGATTTTTTGATTTATTGTAGAGATGAGGTCTCGCTGCCCAGGCGGGTCTCGAACCCGCGGGCTCAGGCAATCCACTCACCTCAGCCTCCCAAAGGCGCAGGATTACAGGCTGAGCTTTACAATTTCATCCCTTTTTTCCCAGTGTCCTTAGAATACATTTTCTCACGTATTAAAATATAACATGCTAATTTCAGATTCTGATAATGATTTCTAATTTACCCTCAGTCACTCAAAATGTTCAGCAACTGAACATGGGATTCTCAGGAGTCAGTCAGGTGCCAAGGATTGGGAGGGGAGAAGAGAATTGTGTTAATCTCTGGTTAACTTTTTTCTACCCACTGGCCATGGAACTGAAAGTTTAAGTCAAATTTTCTCACATTGTGAGAACTAGTCTTGGTCCTATAAAACTCTAAAGCACAGAATTTGACCATTTAATTCAGTGGTCTAATATGCCCCTTGCAACAACAACTTCTATCACTGTAATTTATTTGCCAACATTAGTACAATACAAGTCCCTGTAGTGTCATGGAGGATACACGCACAGGAATGGTAAATGTCTGTTCAGCTCTTCTGTAGGAAAGAATACAACTTTTTCCATATGTATGTAGTACATATAGTATGTACAGTATATGCTATTTGAGAAAGCAAGATATGCATACCTAAAGTGATAGTGCGTAATATTAAAAAGTCATTTTCAGATCTTACTTCATTCACCAAAGAGTTTTTGTCTTTTTAAGAGGCTTAGATTGATTTAGTGTAGTAAGTAATGAGACTAAAGCCCAGGATACTATGAGATGAACCCAGCTAAAAGATTTTCTAACGTTTTCTTTATTCTCTGTCCAAAGTAATGCCAACCAACTCTTTCTGGTGTTGTCACATTATTTTTCAGCCCTCTTCTGATGAAATTTTTTTTCTTTTTCTTTTTTTTTTTTTTTTTTTTTGAGTTGAAGTCTCACTCTGTCGCCCAGACTGGAGTGCAGTGGCCGCTCCCGGCCACCGCAGCCTCGACCTGCTGGGCTCCGGTGATCCTTCCCCCTCAGCCTTCCAAGTAGCCGGAACTGCAGGCGCGCGCTACCACACCAGGCTGATTTTTTTGATTTATTGTAGAGATGAGGTCTCGCCAAGTTGACCAGGCGGGTCTCGAGCCCGCGAGCTCGGGCAATCCACTCACCTCAGCCTCCCAAAGCGCGGGATTACAGACTGAGCCACCAAGCCCGGCTGAATTTTTTTTTCTTTCATCCATAGGCTAAGCAGTTTAAGATACTCTATGTTGGCAGCAAAGTAAGATCAGTTCAAAATACACATGTTGGTTCTATAAGCTTGACTAGGCACCTGCTTGAAAGGAGATATTTTGCGCTCTCTTCTGCTGCTGGTATAAGTGATGAGCTGGGATCATTTTAAGTACTAATTCAAACACCTAATTTTTGAAACATTCAATGAGGAGTTTCTTTCTTAACATTTCAATAGTTACCAAGCACTCAAACTTTTTGGTTCAGGGATTTCACCAACAGTAGACAAAAATAATATCCAACTCTTTCTCTTTGTTTAATTTGTCTTCTAGAAGAGACTACTACAGATCTTAATGTCCATTAGGAACAATATACAGCCACAGTTTTCTAACGTTTTTGGTTTTCTGAAAGAAAAAAAATAATGTATCAGTACAAGGATTGTGTGTTCTTGCCCTATCGAGGAAATTGACCAAAGCTTTCCTAGTAGAGAAGTGTAGTTTGTTCTGTCACATACATTTTCCTGTGACATGGATGAACTCATATGACATTGGCAGAAAGAGAACAATGTCATAAAATATGGAAGACATTTTGGCTCATCTACAAGTTTTCTCCTCCGCAAGTAAAAATATCTCCTCTTAAAAGTAGCAGAACATAAGGTTTACTAACTCATAAACACAATAAATCTCAGAAGAAACCAAAAGCATACACAATGCTCACTTGTCTCCATCTGGCCACAATCAGTCTTAGAAGTGGTCTTTGTTCAGTGTGCTTTTGTCTCAATAATTGGGACACCACAACTTTTTTTACAGTCCCTTCTATTAATCACATTACCTTTATTTAAGGACAAGTTTCTTTAATTACAATTATTTGTTTGGAATTAAGCATGTTTTACTAGCTAGAGTAGTTTCTTTTTATTTAGTTTTACTATAGTTTTATGTTCTGCTATTAAGTGAAGATACAGGCCATTGCCTTACTAGATTCTGGTATGGCCATGTGCTTTTTGAGATGTGATTGTTGCCATGTTTCTGGGTTTTGGCCCCCTTCCCTACCTTGGGGAGATGAATCTGTCTCTCTCTCTCTCTCTCTCTCTCTCTCTCTCTCTCTCTCTCTCTCTACTTTGCTTTCTAAATAAACTATATTTTCTTTTCTTTTCTTTTTTTTTTTTTTGAGTTGGAGTCTCACTCTGCCACCCAGACTGGAGTACAGTGGCACACTCACGGCCACCACAGCCTCGACCTGCTGGGTTTAGGCGATCCTTCCACCGCAGCCTTCCAAGTAACTGGAACCACAGGTGCGCACTACCATGCCCGGCTTATTTTATTTATTGTAGAGACAAGGTCTCACCAAGTTGCCTGGGCTGGTCTCAAACCCCTGGGCTCAGGCAGTCCTCTTGCCTTGGCCTCTCAAAGTGCTGGGATTACAGACTGAGGCACCGTGCCTGGCCATAAACTATATTTTCTAATACATAAAAAAAGATACAAAACATGTACTTCTGGGGTAAGAAGGAGGTGAAGGGTGCAATTTTTGAAGAGTAATACAGGAAGACATCTTAAGTAAAGAGATGTTTGGGTGGAAACCAGAGAGATGCAAGGGGTCAGCTCTCAGAGGAAAGAGAATACAGTTGAGGGTGGCCATCCCAAGTGGAAACATGCTCCACTTCTTGAAGGGGACAGCAAAAGGCCACTGTGACTGGAGCAATGAAGAGAGGAGGTTGGTGGAAGGAAGATACCATGGTGCACAATACTAGGAAGTATGTTTAGGTTTTTCTCTGAATGAGATAAGAAGCTGGTGAAGCAAATTGAGCAAAGGCAAGTCATGGCCAGACTTAACATTTTAATATAAGGCCATTAAAGAAGGGGACCAGATAGAAGACTATTGTCATAATTGCAATGAATGGCAATGCTGAACTAAACCATAGTGATAGCCACAGGGGTAATGAAAGAAGTCAAGACGATGAGATGTGCAGATGCATGTAGAGGTGAAAAAAAAAATCATGAGTGAATCCAAAAGTTTTTGTCGTTGTTATTCTTGGTTTGTTTTTATTTTTGTTTTGGGTGGGGAGCTAGTCTATGAACTATATATGTGTACTAATTCTACAGAGACCAATGGAAATTAAATTTAAGAGATTTTTAATAAGTATTAAGACCAGTAAAATTTATAACTAAATATAAGTAATTGTTGAAAAATATGACTTCTCAATTAACTGGAAATGTAAAAATGGTAGTTCAAAAGAAGCTCTATGATGTAAAACATTTTAATAACAATAACTTTAGTATAAAACTATATGTCGAATAAAATCATTAAAATATTTTCATTTTGGTCATTATTAAAGGATATCAACTTATTCTTGAATTTGGTCATTAGATAAATATGTATGAATGATATTTCTTGAAAACAAACACATAAAATGTATTTTTCTGGAAAGAGGATGCACATAAAATAAAACTCATAAGGCAAAGAATGGAAAGCAAAATAGAAACATGAAAGAAGATAATGGAATCCCAAACACGTTGTTAAGAAAATACATTGGTGAAACTTTCCTATTAAAAGACAGATATCTTCAGTATAGCTTAAAAATTAAATCCAATGACATGATAAGTAAAAGAAACTATCTAAATCAAAGTGACATTTTTTCCCCCAAAGGAATGCAAAGATTTATCAGGCAAACACAGACAAACAAGACTAGAGCATGACTTTAGTCAAATTATATTCAAGATAGAAAAGTACTAAACAAAATAAAGATTAACATTTTTGTGGACTAAATGTACAATCCACAATAAAA